TGCCATTCTCGGTGCGCCTTTCGACACTGCCGTCTCCTACCGACCCGGTGCTCGATTCGGACCCCGTGCAATCCGCGCCGGCTCAAGCCGTCAGACGTCCTTCCGAGGCTTCAACCCCCGAGCCAACCTCAACCCGTACACGTCATGGGCGAAGATCGTAGACTGCGGAGACATACCAATCACGCCCTTCGATAACACGTTGGCGCTGAAACAAATGAGCGAGGCCTTTCTCGAGCTGGGAAAAAGACCTGCGACGGAGAAGAGCACGGAGAGCGGGGTGCAGTATCTCAAGAAGCCAAAGCTGCTGACTCTTGGCGGAGATCACAGCATTGCACTTCCGGCTCTGAGGGCCTTGAAGGATGTATATGGGCAGCCGATTGCCGTGGTACACTTTGACGCACACTTGGATACCTGGCATCCGGCGAAGTACCCTTCCGCTTGGATCGACCAAGAAGACCCTTCTACACAGTCGTTCTTCAATCATGGCAGTATGTTTTGGATTGCAGCCACTGAGGGTCTGATCGCAAACGACTCGAGTGTACACGCGGGGCTGAGGACGAGACTGTCGGGTGATGAACCAGAGGACTATACCGACGACTCGCAGCAAGGCTGGATTCGCATCGCAACAGACGACATCGATGAGATTGGTGTAAAGGGCGTCATCACCTCGATCATGAACCGCGTGGGCACAGAGATGCCCGTCTACCTCAGCATCGACATCGATGTGATCGATCCTGGTCTCGCACCGGGCACGGGCACACCTGAACCAGGCGGCTGGACTACGCGTGAGCTCATCCGCATATTGAGGGGTATTGAGGGCATGAATGTTATCGGTGCAGATATTGTGGAAGTCAGTCCTGCGTATGACGGCGCAGCAGAAACGACAGGAATGGCAGCGGCGCAGGTCGCGTACGAAGTCCTTACGAGCATGGTACGCAAGGGACTTATCGAACAAGCACGAACAAAGGTGACCACGCACGAAGACAAGGATGAGTTATGAACCCCCGGTATGTCTAGATATTCATACGAGCCGTGAAGGACTCTTGGAATGCAACTTAGGTCGTTGACGCACTAGACAACTGTTCAATTCCATGAATCATTTCAAGCGCCCATAACACCTTGAATTGCAACAATGATATCCTTTTTACAGTATTTTCTAGCATCGCGTATGTATCCAGCGGACGCTCCACGAGCATACCCTCAACACAACAAACTCCATCATTCTACTACGCTGCCATCCCGTCTTCGCGAGCCTTCCCTCACTCTCACACGTAACTCAAATATATCCCCCAAACATCCTCCCTCGGCATATGATAAAAACGCCACCTCTACCCTCTTACCCCTCCACACGCACACCCACCCACGATAGCTCACACACTACCCTAACCGGCGTGGCTTCCACATGGCCGCCCACCACCTCCCTCCCACTACCATCCCATACCACCATCTCCCATCGCGCGGGTAGCCGGTCTCGCATCAAACAAACTTCTCCTAGCCGGCTCCGTCGCACGTGGCCGTGGGCAATTTAGAGTTCGATACCATCAACGACGCCAAAACGCTTGACTCGATAGTCGCCCCAGCGGCGCTACTCTCGGCGCTACATTTGTACCCTTTCCTGAACCTTGATTCATGGAAATCTGCGGCTAATCTAATCATTAGACTATAATCTGGCAGAGACGGTGCGGTTGAGGCTCAGTGCTGAGGGCTTTGGCGGCTGGGTCTGGGTCTTGGATGCAAGCCTTGCGGAGGCGCACGGGTGTGGGTGAGTCGCGGAGCGTGCTGAACAGGCGGAGTATGCACCGAATTGCGGTTCTAATGAGGGAAACGAATGCGACGGGAGATTGGCATACATATTATTGCGGGTATTGAGCACGTGGGTTAGTTCTAGTCCCTCGATGGACTTTGGCGTCTACGGTTGGGATTGCGATGATGGCGGGTTTGTTATGGGGGTCTGGATTTGGGGTTTGAGCTTGGGGTCTGTGGGGGCGCTATGAAGACGAAAGCGGAGGTATAGGGAATAGAGTTATCGGTATGCTGTTAGAGTTATAAACTATGTGCACATGTTAGTATGTATGTGGGTGGTGAGATTCAGGTGCTAAGGTGTGCGAGATACTCTTATTAGAGTTGTGACTACGTGCATATGTTGAGTATGGGCGCCTCGATGATGGTGATGGTACGGACGCAAGTGATGAGTTGAGTACTGGCGCAAATTCCGGTCGAGGACATGGACGGCCCCGTGGTGCCTGGCGTTCCGGGGCTCGGTGAAGTACCGTGTCATGCGGCTGTGAGCGATGTTGCTGAGCCTGCATACTCGTATTAGCATTGCCTTTCTTCGAGGACGCCAGGTGGAGCAATGACTATCCGACACGAGTGCCCATGATCCGATTCAGGTATCATTGAGGCAGCAGTCAGCGTGATACGACTTCGGGGCGATGGTACCGATGGCGAAGTATTGTTGTGGCTTGATGAAGCATTGCACATCACGAGAGAAGAGTCGGTCAGTGTCTTGGACTCAGTGCTGCCTAGACGCCTACATTCGTGATTGAAGAGATCAACGCGACCCGTTGGGTCAGGCCTTGTCGTGTCAGTGGGTAGACATGTAAGCATTCGGTCTGAGTGGCTGATGACTGAACTGGGGTCCAGTGCATATCTCGACGAGTCAAGCGCATGGAAGCCTTGCTGCGGAGCTCAGTCAGCACAGTACCTTGTCGCTATCGATTTCGCAGGTCTGTCAGTGCCAAGCTGGTGAATACGTGCCTTCACAGCCATGGTCAAGCGAAGTCAAATGTTGACTATACACATGCCGAAGTTCTTTGCCAGGCGCCCACCAGGGATGCCTTGACAGTCAACTCCACATACCCACAAAAGCTTTGTCGACTCCACAACTCCACTCCCATCGCTATTCGCGTTACACCCCCAGATAGGGTAAAGTTGATAGACGCATCTTGTGAGCCCCAATACTCCACAGAAACCGCAGGACTGAGCTTAGCTGACTCCCCAGTACAAACCGTCTTCACGGTCTCCACGTTCACCGGCTCGGAAACTTTCGGCCATCTTGGCTTCCGTACTTGGCCTCGGGAATATTTCTGACGTTGCGCAGATCTACCACCGAATGAGAATGTTGCTTTAGGTAATAGAGTCCACTGCCGAAGCAAAAATTGTGCTGTTTCTGTTTTTTCGGTACCGACACGATAGCAGTTTGGTTGATGGACCCTTTGCCACGCGAAGTATGCAAAAGCAACTGTCAAGACAAAAAGCTTGGTACAATGAGTAAGCCAGGCAGTTACAAGCATGGAATTCAAAAAGCACATCCAGCTGTTCCAGAACCAGAAAACGAAGGCGAAAATACGATGCGAGGCCACCCGTTGAATGCCCAGCTGTTCGCCTGACTCCATCCAATGGGAGCGCGACGCTGCCAATACCAAGGCGGTAGTTGGCTACCATCCTCGTGTTAAGGTTCCAGTTGTCGTTCCGATCCGCACCGCTAGCAATGTAAGGCTTGCTAAAAATAACGCCATTGAGCTTGAAGTCTCAAAACCCATTGCTCCACCATGATACGATGTGTGATCGCGAGCTTTCAGCAGGAAAGTGGGCATTTTCGTATATGGTGGAAACCTTGGAACTGACTGCGGGGCGCATCAGTACTGACGACTCGCTTGTCATCGGAGGTAAGCCGCTGCGCCTACCTGCGGAAGCTGCATCGGACGATAGCAGGGAAAGTGAACATGCTGTTGAGCCATGCCGGATCCTTGCACGTGCAGGGCCTTGCCTTTTGGTAGCGAACAAAGGAAAGAAAAATAACCCGTCTGTTATGCTGCAGCCCCGAGGAAAAGGTTAAGCTTTTTTGGCCCTTCTTGGGGATAAACACGGAAGGTACTGTGACATCGCTGGCAGATGTGACTCACGACACGAGGTCCAAAAGCTGAAACTGTTCCTGGTCCTCTGGACGCCGCATTTTACTGAGACATACGGTCGCTGGGCTTACGCTTGTCGCTCCGGAGGCCAGAATTATGTCATCGGTGAGGCTTACGCCACATCATCCGCCTTGGTCGGTCGCGGAGAGGTGACTGTGCGACCTGCGATGAGGGCGGGAAGCAGGAACACGGCAATATGCTGATTCCATCGATGAGCAGTCAGACGGCGCGCACTTGCCGTGCCCCTGCCATCGCCATCAATCTGCCACAAACCACCCTTTCTGTGCCGTTCATCTCTTGTTTGGGGCCAGGCTTCAAAATTCTCTTCTCGCTATCTGCTATGACACGCACACTAGTTCCAGGCGTTCGGACGTCGGAGAGGAGATCCATACCCTGGAGCGATCGAATTAGCCCGCGTGTACCCCACCGAGCCGTCAACGAGATAGACCCACATGATTCGATGTTTTGCCACGATACGGCGTGGAACAGTGGAAAGGTGTCCACGCTATGCTGCTGGAGGCTTGCACGACCCTTGTGTTCCCACTTTCGGGGCTATCGATGTGGCTCAATGCCGGGACTTTGGTTCGTGTCACGTCGAGAGAAGAGGCGTGCTTGCAGATGTATGGTATTGTGCTGGCCGCAGGTGAGAAAGCCACATGAACAGGGGTTTGCCTGCGCACGAGTCAGCATCTTAGCGCTGGCTCTAGGGCGTAAAGGCGGTTGCCGTGGCGTAGGAGGTTTACTTGGACTTCTACCTTGCGCGCCGGACTGTATTGTTGCTTGCATGGCAGGGAGCGATTCCGAGTGTACCGAGGTGCATACGGTGCTGTGACGTGTTAACAGCTCGAGAGACGCAGGTGAGATGACGATGCAAGGCGCCTGTGACTAAGCGGAGGCGTGTGTGCTGTGACGATGTCCACACGAACACGGCAATCGCAAGAAGGTGTGAAGCATTGATTGTAGGATAGTAGTCATAAATTCGTCTATCTTGTGCCGTGCACAGTAATTAAATGTAATGCGCGCTTGAAGAACAGCAGAATAGAAATCAAATAGTTAACGGCCCGAATCTAACACCAATATGGTTCACTAGATCCACCAAAAATGCCCACCGTGCTTCTTGCATGCACTTACTGACGAGGTAGGAAGTACCGTCGTTGTCGTAGTCCATACGTGGCCGAATGTAATGACCTCGGTCGTAGTAGTAAAGGCAAACTTGGACTTGGTTTTAGTAGGAGTCGGTAGCGTGGTAGTTGAGGTGAGGAGGCCGGAAAGAACAGTGGGAGGAGGAAGCGTCTCTGTAGCGGACTCTGTGAGAAGAACACTCTCAGTAGTGGTGATAGCTGGTGCAGTCACAGTAGCGAGTACTGCGACAGGAGTCTCGTAAGTGACAGTGGTCGTGGGAGCATCAGGAGCACGGCGCTGAACCTGTCCAGCCTTCTCCGCACGTCTCTGCTTTGCGGCCTCGACGCGGGCACGCGCCCATTCGTAATCGACTTCGCGGTCGCCCTTGCGAACCCAGCGGTGGAATTTCGGGATGGTGGTAGGTGTCTCGATAGCCGCCGCGTGAACTTTAGTGGGCGAGTACTCGCAAGGCTTGTCAGGCTTGCCCACGTGGGCCGGGGTAGTGCACGTGGCTTCGACAGTCTTAGTGGTGACGCCAAAGCTCTTGGTCCAAGAGTGCCTGGTGCGAGTCATGGTCTTCGTAGTTGTCGTAGTGACTGCCTTTGGCCTGATTGTCTTGACCTTCTTAGCGGTGCCACTAGGCATCGTGACAGTCGAGAATGGTCCAGCAGTGACGACATCCGTCGAGGTAGTAGTGACAGTTTGCGTAATAGTAGGCGTCTCGGTCTTGGTGTCTGTGGTTGTTGCAGTGTACGTGCTGGTGACTTTCGTGCCGACAGTTAGGTAGAGATCTATATTTGTTAGTAAATGGGTTGTTCGTTGGCCGAGTACAAGAAGACATACCTCTCTGCCATGCGAAAGGTTGGCCATTCGAGCCGTCCTCGTTGGCTTCATTGTCTCCCAGAATCAGAAGTAGCCAGTGTCCTGAGCTCATCTGGTTCTTCTTGATAGGGCAGTCTGCCACTTGGTTCACATCGTCAGGTGTCGTTGGAATTTTGTCGCACAAGTATTCTTCGCCAGTGGTTTCCTCCACGTCAGGTGCGACGAGCACGACATCTGCCATACCATCCGCGTTGCAACCTCTGAAGTATGTTACAGCAGAGAAGTCCTCAGTAGACTCTGAGTCGATAAAGTAGCTTCCTTCATCGATAAAGTCAACACCATAGGCGTAACAGATACCACCAGAGCTCCCGAAGGGGTCATCGGCTTTGACGAGGGTGATGGAGGCGGCAGCCACCGCGAGGAATATAGAACGAGAGTACATGTTGAAGCAAGTCAAGTCAACGACTGAAAGTACAGGTATGATACGCTGGATGTGGTATGCAGAGTCAGTGGGCCATGACCTCTTTTGTACCTTGTATGATGATCAAGCCCAGCAGGTTCTTCACAAATACGGCTTATCTTTTGCGCACTGAGCTGTGCCCCGACCCCCGAGTAAGCCGACATGGATCGAAGATGCAATGAAAATAGTCATGGCAAGTGCTTGATCTAACAGTGTCAACACGGAAGCGAGCTTGTGACAGACTGGAACAGGTGGGCGGGGCGGGCGGTCAGCAATTCGTAAAGACGTCAAGCGCAGTTCTGCGCCTCATCAGTACTTAGCCCTCGTAAGGCGTTGCATCGCTCTGCAGAAGGAAGAAAAGTGGTGCTTAGTGGAGGAGGCGAAGGCATCCATGTGTGCGGCCGCTATGGAAAGCCACTGGAATTAGTGCCGGTCCGTGCTAGGCTTAGCGCCCATACCCCTGAACCGATCCTAGTGTTCACGTCACTTCACTCGGCCCCAACGTCCGCATATTCTTGCACCAACTTGCAGCAAACCCGCCCGCTCAGTTGGTCGATCTTACTAACGATAGGCTGGCCAGTCGCTGATGAACCCGCGCTCCTGTTTCCAGCGCGTTTCCAGCAGCCGCGCATGCCGATCCGAGCGTTGAAATTCGCACTTTCTTCTCTCCGTTCGTGTCTATTCGCGGGCGCATGCCATTTTCCGAGATAGTCGCATCCAATGCGATAGTCACAAGCTTTCCTAGCGGCCGCCCTGTCGGCCGTTCATCTGGATGGATGACCTAGATTTTGGTTGTTCGAAGCCACCGAGTAAGTTCACGGGTCGGAAGGTCATCCCTGGACCCGCATGCCGAGCTACACAGCATGCATGGAAGGTACATCATGCCAACTTGCAGTCGGCGAATAATGGCAATGCCATACCGAGCATTTAGTCCTCCTACACACCATGTAGCTTATGAAGATCCTGATAAGCCCGTGTATGTTGGAGTCGGTCTACGCCACAGCCCAAGGGGGTCTCAGTGTCCATATTGGACGTTCAACGTCAGCAAGCGACCGGAAGGGATACCGCTGTCTTGGGCACTTCTGTCAGCCTGATTATGACCTCGGCTGAGGGTATCATCTCGAAGAACCAGTGGGTTTGGGATTTGTCTGATCCCTGCTCACTTATCGTTCATGCCCTACGTGGTTATTCTGGTAACAGAGCTCGAAATTTGATTGGAACCACCTAGGTAAGCTTCCTCGGTACCGGATGGGACGGTCGTATTCCCGTCTTCCGATCGCGTGGGTTAGGCCACATGCTTCGCACGAGTAGCTTGCGTTCTCGATGCTTTTGTCACGTCGCAAACAGATTCTGCATCAGGCCTAAGGCATATCCTTCACAACGTCAGTACCCACATCTGACCACTCCATGTGGGCTCTCGTCTCCGGTGAGCACAGAGTATGCTCGAATAGCGGCCGTATCTTGTGGAGTACCCGATCTGTAATTCAATAGATCTTGCATCCGACAAGGGTCCATCACCTTACGCGAGCTCCTAGGATCCTTCACCTAAGAAAACGCTCCAACACGAGTAGGTCGCTCATCACGCACCGTTTCGAGTAAAGTTGGAACTACCACTGACTTAGCGCTGGTGTGGTCCCTCCATACCGGAATCCCGATTAGGAGCTAGATCCGTGCACCGTCTGAGATCTTGGCTTCATCGACTTCGCCTCTCTCCTACCCGCTCGCCGACATGGACGTAAGCGAGCCACTGCCATAGCTGAGCTTCAGCCCATCGGTCGCTGTATCTATCGAGGCCAGACATTTGCCTAATCGGCCCTCATCATCAGTTATCCACGGCCGGGATCGTTCAAGTCCACCCCGTGTCATAGTACGAGATGAGCATTTCTAGGGCGCCCTGGCGTCGATCTCACCACCTGGACCACGCGGGTCCAACTGACATGCAGCACTAAGCGAGAAAAAGTCGGTGTCACGGCAAAGTAGGCGCTGGCTGACTTCGCCATGGGTATGGCCCAGGGCGAAGCTCAGATTACCGCCACCATTTGATGACTTACACTTTGGGGGCGTCTTTCGGATGTGTCTCATATAAATGGCACCTGTGTTCTGGTCAGCCCAGCCCTACATTGATTAACTCCAGGAACCATTCGACATCCATTGGCCTGGTCAGCATCTCTTCATATATACCGACCCGGTACCGTTCTTTCCTCGCATTGATATATTGCATTCACACCATCATGTTGTTTCCTTCATTAGCCGCATGGCTTTCATTTGGATCAGTTGCACTCGCTGGTCCACTACGTGCAGAGCCATTATCCGATGAGTTCCCAACTTTTGACCAGATTGTCAAGAGGCAAGATGGTGCTTGCACCAACACAGCACGAACACGAAACTGCTGGAGTAATGGCTACAGCATTGCCACCGACTTCGATGCCAAGTCTCCCCCGGACGGCACCACCGTGACTGTAAGTGTATCCAAGGGTTCCTGCTCGAATAGGTGCTGACATATGACAGTACAACTTCGAGATCTCGAATGTTACTAGGGCCAACCCCGATGGAAGTGGTACTTCCAAAGAAATGATGCTCATCAACGGCCAATATCCTGGACCACTCGTGCGAGCAAAGTGGGGTGACACAGTCATCATCAACGTCAAGAACAACCTCGAGCACAACGGAACCGGTATTCACTGGCACGGTATTAGACAGCTGAACTCCTGCCAGGACGACGGCGTCCCGGGTATCACCGAATGCCCGATTGCTCCTGGAAGAACCCGCCAGTACAAGTTCAGGGCAACTCAGTTCGGTACAACATGGTACCACTCTCACTTCTCAGCCCAATATGGCGATGGTGTTGTCGGTACCATGATCATCGATGGACCAGCTACTGCCAACTACGACGTCGACCTGGGTACTCTCCCCATCACTGACTGGTACTACGTACCCGCTTTCACACTGAACGAAGTCGCCCAGCACTCTCAGCGTGGACCCCCCTCGCCCGACAATATCCTCGTCAACGGCACACACATCAACGCGGCAAACGACAACGGGAAGTACGCCAGAATCAACGTAGTAAAAGGAAAGAAGTACCGCATCCGTCTCATCAACACAGCCGTCGACAGCACCTTCAGCGTCTCCATGGACGGCCACCCCTTCACAGTCCTCACCTCCGACTTCGTGCCCATCAAGTCGTACGTCACCGACCAATTGACCCTGCAGATCGGTCAACGGTACGACGTAGTCATCACCGCCAACCAAACCGTCGACAACTACTGGTTCCGCGTCGTAACCGGCAGCTGCGGCAGCAACAAGATCGCCTCAGCCGGCAAGCCCGTCGGCGCGATCCTGCACTACGACGGCGCATCCAGCACTTCAAACCCCACCTTCAAGTCCTCCGTCACAATGCGCGCAGGCTGCGACGACGAGTCCTCATCCAACCTCATCCCCTTCGTCCCCAACACCGTCCCTACATCCGTAATGGGCGAGGTCCAAAACCACAAGATGAGCGTAGACTCCTTTGCCGACCCTGCGAAGGACAACCTTTTCCGGTGGTTAATCGACGGCACACCCCACGTTGTCGACTGGAACAATCCTTCGCTTGAAACCGTGCTCGGAGGCTCCCGCTCCATCGGTCCAAACGGTAACGTGTACACCATGGATAAAGAAGGCTGGTACATGTGGTACATCCAGTCAACCTCGAAGATCGCCCTTCCCCACCCCATCCATCTCCACGGCCACGACTACTACATCGTCGGTCGCGGCGCAGGTACCTGGGACGGATCTACCAACGGTCTTAACTTCAACAACCCGACTCGTCGTGACACTGCTTTGTTGCCTGCGGGTGGCTACATGCTCATTGCTTTCCCTGCTGATAACCCTGGCATGTGGATCATGCACTGGTAAGTCAATCCCTGTATGAAGTGCATCTGAGACATATACTGACTTTCTACCTCTAGTCACATTGCTTGGCATGCTAGCCAGGGACTCAGCCTCCAGTTTATGGAACGCATGAGTGAAATCAAGGGCACACTGGGCGACACGAGTGTGTTGAAGCAGGGGTGTGATGAGTGGGATTCTTATTGGGCGGAGGGAAGCGCGCCGGATGGGGATAGGCCATACAATCAGACTGATTCTGGTATTTAGACGAGTTTACGTTCTGGTTCCGTTTAATAGGTTGGGAGCATGGCGTTTTCTGGTTGGGCTAGAGGGTTGAGTTGGAACTTCTCGACGTAGCGATATTCTTTTGTATATATTGTATTCAAAACACTTTTCTCCATCGACATGTTCATACCCGTGTCTTCCTTTGCGCGATCGATGTGGTGTGGACTACACATTGCCTGCACTGCACGTATGCCGCAATGCAGTACCTGAACCCTGCCGGCGAGGACGTGGACCATGAGTACAGGTACAGCAGGGCCATCACATGGCTCCCGTCAACGTCGTGTCCCCTCGCACACAGCACTCACGCACCCTGCATTTCCGACACGGCGCACCAAAGATAGCATCCTTTGTCCCTCTAAGCCAAGAAACCCGCATGCTGCAGGGTCCCAACAAGTCTCGGAAGGGCCATCATGCAGGGAATGCGTGATGGTTGCGAAGGAGGTGGTACATGTACACTAGGAATGGCTGGGCGAGAATGGATATCCCGAATTGATGCAGGCCAAGCGTTTGTACGAGGGTTGAGGCTCTGCTCGCCCGATCGAAGAGTCTGTGGGCGGCGATGCGGGATAGGTGGTTTTGTCCTTGCTCGGGATGGGATGGTTGTGTGAGAGATATGATGGCTTTGGTGGTCCGAAGGCTTTGATCGTGTCGTATGATGTCGAGGACGATGATGAATGGAAGGCGAAGGCGTTGCGTTCATCGCGTGCTCCAGCCCAACTCAACCCTCCATCTCCCAGACCAGCGTCTCTCGGCCTTCAAATTGCATCAACGTCCACGCGTTCTTTCCCCCAAAAGCCTGCGCACTCATCGCGAACCAATCTGCCTCTTCG